TGCACTTAAACAGGACCAGAAAAGAATATTAAGAAGAAGATGAACAAAACCTCGAGGGAATGGAAATATGAAAGAACCTAACGCAACAAAATAATATCCACATATAACAAGGCAAATGCGCCAAAGAGTGTCCAAAAGATCTACCAAATTATTAATTGCTGATTAATTAGTCAGTAGACTCAATAAACTCTATCGTTATTTGAACATGTCTATAATGTAGATGATGTTTATGATGATTAGCTTTTGAAATGGAAAAAATAATTGTAACCATGCCCTTAATGACGGTACAGAAGAGTCCCTTGCCCCAGTTACAAGTGCACCACAAAGCCATGAGCAGCCGTTATCTACAAGTGCTGTGCTACTTCTTGCGATCCGTTACAGGTGTACTGTCGTGTCTCTTTTAATTTCAGACCAGGATAGAGTCCAGAACCCATTAAATCATGCGCACATCTGTTCCAGCCTCTTGTAATCTAAGCACGTGCGAGTGTTCGGAAACTTGTGAACTTTCCTTCGGAGCGCCCACTTGCTGCATCTGCCAAAGAGCGTTCCCAATTAATCAGTTTAGTTCCAGTCGGGTTTCTCAACATGGACGGTGTAGCTGAATTCAGAACCGTAATTTTTTCGATTAGAGATGACAAAAAGCTCCAGTTGCTATGGAATAAAATCCGAAATAGATCTTAGGATTGAGGCTGAAAAAGCTGAGTTGAGTTTCTAAATCAGTAAATGAAATCCAATTAAGTAGGAAATATGAAATAATATCTTCAGGGGTGCAACGCCTCGAAATATGGTAGATATTTACAGACGTATTTTAGGTACGCACTTCCACCATGTCCACTGACTACGTTCCTCCGAAACGTCGGTAAACATCAGCCAGACTACAGGACTTGACATTTCAGACGCCAGAATTCGTAATATTCATCACCGAGAGAATACAAATATCACGGAGGACACGTCCCCATGGCAACGAATACAAGCAGCAGTAGAAAAATTGTTGGATGCTTCGTCTTCTATACAGTCCTTGTCGTATCAAAGGAAAGACTATAGGTGTACCTTTGTATTCCCCTGTTGTTGCTAGGCAATGGCTCAGTAAACACGTTTCCACGGCAACGAAGAATTGTTGGAGAGGTCGTTTTCTGTGCAGTCTGTATGGTATCAAATGAACGCAGGCGATCAGTTCTTACCAAAACTTCTTGTTATCTTTGTAACATAGAGATTACCAACTCTGCCGGCAGTGTGCTTGTGGCTACATTATTTACAGAACTGTTTTGTCATACGGGAGCAGTGTGAATGAAGATTTTTATTACATCATTACAGGGGTATGTTAAAGTTAATAAACTAAGCTTAAGATCTTCAAGAAGGACGTAGAATTTCCTTTACAGTTTTAATTAAACTTTTCAAAATATCAAATCACATTAATGCGTAGTCTGTTTTACGTATTTGGGCATTCCAATTAAATATCTAGTTGCTAAGATAATTATGTTCCAAACTTGAAATTAAAAATTATTAATTGCTGTTTTATACTGTTTTTTACTTGAAGCGAAATCAAATATAGAGGTATATAGCGTTATTATAATTAAGAGTGTAATAAAGTTGTGTCTCATGCTTTCATCTTTAGAAGTTAATAATAAAGATACAACTCTACAAGAAAGGTAATGTTGTTTCTGTCTTAGACGGCGAAGAAAGTTTAACGAACGCGAGTTTTATTCATGCCGACAAGATGTATGTTCACGAAAACGGTTACAATGATTCTATATGTAACTGCGAGCAAACTGTTTGGATTTTTTAAATTTAAAATAAATATTAATAAATATTTTCATGAAAAGGTAGAATGCGTGTGCTTCATAAGCGTGATAGAGAAATTTTGCAACGTAGTTCTAATAAGATTAATTTACTCAGTAACCGTATCATTATACCAAGGGTTTATTTCTCCGCCCCTTAGTATACTTGAATTCCAATGACAAAACAGAACCGCTGTTTATATTCCACTGCTCTTAAAGTAGGCAATAAATTTTACCTTCACGAAGTATCCTACGATTCCAAGTCAGTATTTATATTTGTATAGCTACAAAACCCCAGACATGTACTAAAAATTATTCCTATTTAATTAATCTCGTTTTTGGAGAGGGGGTCTTGGGGTGGGGTGAGATTGAGTCCACTTGGTACGTCGGCCACTATTTGGCCTGTTGTACCAGCCCGGATAGTAGATGATGATGAATGCGGAGTAGTTGGTTTAATGAGAATTGGCAGGGGAAACCGAAGTACTCGGAGGAAATCTGCACCAGTGCCACTTTGTCCATCTCAAATCCCTCATGTCTTGACCCCGGCTCGAACCCGGCCGCCGCGGTGGGAAGCCAGCGACTAACCGCTTGAGCTATTGCGAGGCCAAACTATAGTCTAAGTCAAAATTATGTTACAACCGACGGTCAGTCGGTCAATCTATCTTGGTGTCAAGCCATAACTTGAGCTGAAGACCAGATTTTTGTTAGAGTCAGACAGTTGTGGGTTTGTCCATGTGAGGCGCCCTCTCTAACGAGAGGACGGGTCTGTCGTTAACAACTGCTGCTGATCCTCGCCAGAGCAGTCATATTTACTGCGGTCAAATTCACTAATACCTAGATGACATGTTTCTTAGCATGTTCAGGGAACCCACCACTAGGCAGCACCCCGAGCAACATGACTGCAGTCCACGTTTCTCAAAATCGCTTTCAGTATCCTCCTTTCTTCTATGCCTATGTCATCTAAGCGATATCAACTGCTCCCGCTACGTTTTCCGACTAAACTATAGGAATTTCTCATCTTTCCGATGTGCAGCTAGTCCCATCGACATGGCATAATGCTGTCTTTGCAATAATTCACCGTAACCCCAGAACAGTGGCCGGTCACGGTAGCCGAGCGGTCTAAGGCATGTACTGTCTTCACTCGCTCGGAAGCCGGGATCGTGGGTTCGGATCTGTTTCCTGTGAGGTACGAACTGAATTCTTATATATTATTCTTATACACTGCCGGTCACGGTAGCCGAGCGGTCTAAGGCATGCACTGTCTTCGCTCGCTTGGAAACCGGGATCGTGGGTTCGAATCCCACTCAGGGCATGGATGTTTAGTTTATGTGTGTTTTTCTGTGTTTGTGTACAGGTAGAGGCCTTGCGACGAGCTGATCACCCGCCCAAGGAGTCCTACCGAATGTGTAAGATCTAGAAAAACCGCAGTGAACGGAGAAGTTCATGGAGGTAGTCCTAGGCCCACTGGGGCTGTAGTGCGAAGGGAAAAAAAAACCAGAACCTTATCCTTCTGCATGAACAAGTACTCTGCTCTTCCCAACATTCTGTTTACATAAGAGCTCAGATCTACAAGCCAACCTATAGACCGGTGCTGACAGAAATGTTTACAGGTCAGTTCTTACGATGTTTATGTCGGAGTGTTACGTCGGAGGTGGATATGCGCAAAAGCACTGACACAGGAATGTGATTAAGCGTTCACAGCGTTTGATGAATCATTTTAGTGTAGCTATCAACTTTCCTACATCCGCTCTGTCACGTGGTTGGAGCGGAACGGGGAAAACCTAATCTTCTCATTCCTTAAGTAGAATTTATTGCAACATTTTCGCTTGAACCGCCATGTATTTTTTTTTTGTCTTCTTGTAGGATCCGTCATGTTAAGATGATGAAAGTATGAGCTAAGATTAAGAAATTCTTCCTCTTTTCTTTCCTCAGTCCCTTTTCCCTTCTCTTCTTATCTCTTGTTTACCTTCTCCCTTTCTTATGCATTATTTTCAAAATGACAGGTACTTGGAAATGCGCAGCTCTCCCCTTTTCTTACTACTTGTTCACCTTTTTAAAGCACTCTCCTTATTTTTGATATGTGGCTGACTCTGACACCGTACACATATATCATAATAAAGATAGCGTGTTTCTTAAGCATGGTTTAACGAGGTTCTTAAGATTCGTCAAAATTTAAAATTGGAGGAAGAATTCCTTAGCATCTCAGATACATAGCAAATAGAAAACATTGCAGTGAGTGCACAAACAAGTTTCATATTGTTATTTTCAAAATTTATTATAATTTAGCTTTTATTTGCCATTGTCGTGACATTACAACATTAATAATTCATAGGATACGATAGGATACGAATACGAATACACATAAATTTTGTCTGTGGTTCTGTATGGGTGTGAAACTTGGGTCTCTGATTTTAAGGGAGGAACATAGACTGAATATCTATTTGAGAACAGGCTGTTGAGGAGAATATTTTGACCGAAGAAAGATAGAGTGGCAGGAGGTTGAAGAAAACTGCATAATGAAGAATGTCATAACTTGTACTCTTCTCCAAGTATAATTAGAATGATCAAGTCAAAGAGGATGAGATGGACAGGGCCTGTAGCACGAATGGTGGAGAGGAGGAATTCAAATAGGATACTGGTAGGAAAGCAGGAAGGAAGGAGACCACTGGGAATACCAAGACTTAGGTGTGTGGACAATATTAAAATGGATCTTAGAGAGACAGAAAAAGGATAGTATGGGTTGGATTGATCTGGCTCAGGATAGAGACCAGCGGAGGGCGTTTCTGAACACGGTAATGTACCTTCGGGTTCCATAAAATGCTGGGAAGATCCTGAGTAGCTCCACAATTGGCAGCTTCTCAAGAAGGGCTCAGCTCCATGAGTGAGTGAGTGAGTGAGTTTTTTTGGCATCTTTGTATTGAAAAGTGATTTATGGTCCTAAAATTCGATGAAGGTGAAAAATTTAGATTAAAAAAGTTATAAACATGTGTATAAAATAATTTACGAACTCCACATAACGTCAAATTCAAATTGTAGAATAACAATTTACAGCACTTTGTCCGAAAATCTGAAGCGTCCATTAGCAAGAACGTCAACACGAAGAATTGTGTTTACTTTTAAACTGAACTATTTTAAGATAAAATTAGGAAGTCTGTTTATGACGCTTGCATGACCTTCTGTTCACCTTCTCTATAAGTACGGTCTGGCACTGTTTCTTTCCAGATGCTCCACAATGTCGGGAAGGTTTGGCTTCTCGTCGCATTGGTGCTATTCGTCACGAAACTCTAGAAGTGAAATGTGAGGTTACAGCAGATCCTCGAGATGACGTAAAGTTCAGCTGGACTTACAACAAATCCCGTGACGTACTTCCAGTTCCCGGTTCTAGAGTCATCCACTCGGGCCTGATCAGTGTCCTTCGGTACACGCCAGAATCTGAGGTCGATTTTGGGACATTGGCGTGCTGGGCAAGCAACAGCATCGGCCGTCAGACCGTGCCATGTCTGTTCCACATAGTTCCAGCGAGTAAGTACCGTCCATCACATTTAACTTGGTATCAGTTTGGTACTAACTGACAATATTTCACACCGTTCGTGGTAGTCATTCTCCTCTGTTTCTATCATTGGCTCTCAGATTTATGTTTCCAGCCTACGTTCTTTGGTCTGAAACAAGTTTAATAAAGATTGGTTTCAGGTATCCGAAAATTAATATGGGAGATTTACAGAAACAGAGAAAGCATGGAGATCGCATCAGCCTACTTTCATTTTTTTTTTCAAAATAAGGAAAGTAGACTACAGATGACAGTAGGCTTATACGATCTTCATGCTGTCTATGTGCCTGTGAATCCTCCTTTATTAACATTTAATTGCTTGAACAGGTCTTTATGAAATTTCGTATGTATATCATGGCAACTGAGTCCATCTGAACGGCCTACTTCATAAATCCCTCCCATCATTCTGTGTGTCTATATATGAGTATATCCCTCCTGTTGTTGCTAGGCAAAGGCAAGCATATCCTGCTATCGTTGCTAGGTAACAACTCGGTAAAGAGTTCCCGCTGCAACGAAGAACTGTTGGAAGTGTCGTTTTCTATTGGGTCGGTGTCGTATCAAAGAAAAGAAGGCTATTATTTCTTATCATAACTTATTATTCTCTGTAGATAAAAATCACATTAGTTTCTTCATCTATTTTACAGCGCTGATTCAGCTGTAGAAGTTCTTGGAGTGTTGATAACAATGAATCAATAAAGATACTGGACGAAAATGGTCGTTGTATGTTTTAAGGCTCTAATGGCGGACAATGAGAAGAAGTGGTAACTTCTCAGATGGAATATAACGGCACCTTGAGAATGTGAATCAACCGCATTGACATTGAATCCTGCCCATCAGTGAATAATATCTGTTCCATGAAATCCTATCTGAAATGACACAGTTATGGGAAAGAGTCTTTTGAATGACATTTTTAAAGTCGAGTCTTACCTCGAAGAAAATATTTCGCATTTCCATTAACATATATGTTTAAGGAAAAATTGCTTCTTATTGTTACAAAACCCGACTCCGCAAGTAAAGAAATACTGCCTTATTTAAAGTTAAATATTTGTAGCTCACACTGTTATTATTACCACGTGTAGGTTAATAAACCTTTGGGCGTTTCCCTAATGCAACATATTCGGTACATAAGAAATCCTGGCTAATCGAGAATATTAATTTGTGGTTCCACCTTTAAAATAAAAAATAAAATTGTACAGCTCATTATAGGACAGGATAAATCTACCTGAAGTTCACTTAAGTTTATATTACGTGCAGCAAATGTCTATAATGAATATACCATTTAAATAAATAATCGTGACGATTATATTAAATTAATTCAGTGATAAGCGAATTATAAATAGGGCAGTATATGATCTAGTAATCATGGCTAGATACTTAATAAAATAATAAACTTGGCTTTCTGTAAGTATTAATAGAATTATAATTAATTCACTGAAAGCAATTTACCAACTTTTATTTACGTGTTCAAGCTAAAACTGAACCAAAATATAGACTGTATATATGTGTGTGTGTGTGTTGAAGAAAACTGCATAATGAGGAGCTTCATAACTTGTACTCTTCTCCAAGTATAATTAGAATGATCAAGTCAATGAGGATGAGGTGGGCAGGTCATGTAGCACGAATGGGTTAGACGAGGAATGCGTATAGGATATTGATGGGAAAGCCAGAAGGAAAGAGACCATTGGGAAGACCAAGGCGTAGGTGGGTGGACAATATTGGAATGGATCTTAGAGAGATAGGATGGGATGGTATGGATTGGATAGATCTCGCTCAGGATAGGGACCAGTGGAGGGCTCTTGTGAACACGGTAATGAACTTTCGGGTTCCATAAAATGCTGGGAAATTCTTGAGCAGCTGCAGAATTGGAGGCTCCTCCAGAAGGGGTCAGCTCCATGAGTAAGTACGTAAGTAAGTAAGTAAGTAAGTAAGTAAGTATGTGTGTGTGCGCGCTTGTTTGTGTCACTTAACCGTACAATCGTTGCATAATCTGAGGACACGGCAGAACAGTATATTTGACAATATGAGAGCAGGACCGCCATATTGCTGCTTATTATATACTGTAGCTATAGATAGGAGTAGTCACTCATAATAAAAATGTAGCATTTCTGTTTAAGAAGAACTGAGAAGGGGAGACATAGACTGTAGTACATATACAAAGAATTGTGCAGCGCCGGGCAAAGAAGATTGTAGCTATATCTACAAGCAAAAAGTCCACAACTTGAAGATTTCTCCCTTGTTAATATTCCGCACGCGATCTTATAGATACGTGGTTTGAATTCGCGATTTCTAGTTCGTCCTCCTTCTTCCGACTTCCCTCGCCGCCGATGGAGAGCCCCCTGGAGTCACATACACTTGGCCGTAGAAGGAGATTCCATAGCCCACCTATGACCTTTAACCGTAACCAATTTCCATATGGTTTAAGGTTACTTCTGTACAAGAAGCATGGTTTTAGCTAGCGGTATATTTGAGGAAGTTGGTAGTGGTGGGAGATGAATTGGTTTTGGGAAATCTTCGAAGGTTATACTCTATGTCTCCGAGGTTGGTTACACTGTACTTCTATATTCTCTTCTCTCTTTCACTGTAAACATCATTGTTCTTCCCTGTTCCTCTTTTTTTTTTCTACTCAGCGGAAATGTTACGGTTGTAATGTAATCAGAATTTATCCATCCTCCTATATTTCCCTTCAATATGTTACTGTTTGTGGTTCTTTCATCTTTCGGTCTCGAATGGTCTTTCGTATAATTTTCTTATATTTGGTTCTTTCCGTCTGTAGTGTTCGATACCCTACCCCCCGTTCTCTGTTTTCGTTTCTCATATACTTAAAATTCCCTTACCCTTTCTTCTTTTCAAATTGAAAATAACCATGTATCACTGACTGCTTGTGTTTCGTATGGAACATATCAGGGCTATTATAGAGTAATGAATCCAGGAATCATATTTGGACACGTTTAAAATCAGCAGTTCCTATAATAATATGCTGTAAACCTCATAACATTATTCCATCAAGTGCGAATATCAGAACTAGACATGAAAAGTCAGAAACGTGAGATGAAGTGTGAAATTCTACCTAATTTTTCTTCCAAAGAGTGTGAATTTCGAAATGTGTACAATTTACAGTCTCTTCATAATTTTACAAAAAGCATTTTTATCATCTGTCTGCCTCTCCATCATGTGGTCCCTATTAAATTTACTATCTAAATCTCATGTTAGTTCCATATCAAAATTATACTCATACTTTTGTTATCTTACTGAGCAGCCACGACCTTACCCCAGTATGAAACATAAAATGTAACCAACCGACTGCAAAGGAAATAGTTCACCTTGAGAACTTGTTATTAGCAGATTTTGTCAAGAATCTCCACGCCTTTCTCTGGTCCCAGAAGTTCCAGTACCATCCAGACCCACACTAGAGCCCACCACTGGTCAATTTCCTAATCCAGCCGAATCTAGTCCATTACTCGCATTGTATTTGCATCTTAGTTCCATTTTAATATTATCCTGACATATACTCCTACTCTTCCAGTTATTTTCATATCTTCACGTGTTCAAAAAATAATTGAGTACGCTTCTCTCATCCCTCCCATGCTTGCTGCATGTCTCGCCCATCTCACATTCCTTGAGTTAACTGCCCTAAAACACTCTAAATTTATTCGGAAAGTGCGGCATAAGAACTGGTAGCATTTATATCTTGCTTTCATTTACTTACGATTTATTAAACTACGATTATGATAGCTTTGATTATATACAGCCTAATGACAGGACGAGTGGCGAATATTCAGTTTGGAAGGACACGGAAGGAAGTGGCCGTGACCAGATTTGAGTACTAACCCGACACTTGCGTTCAGGGGCCGAGAATTGCAACGAAAAGCTTGTCAGGATAGTCGTTCTCGTAGCCGAGCCTTTAACTCGGGACCTCCTGAATACGAAACAGGAATTCCATCCACTTGACAGCAATATTCGTCATATCAACTCGAAGGTCTTGCATATTGCATGTTTCTTTCATGTATCATTTGATAAGTTGGTAATAGCATACTTTGTGTTAATGGTTACCCTTTGCTATCAGGCTCGTATCTATGGCTTGAGATATCTCCAGCATTTTAAACTCTTTGTATCATAGACAAAACGTAGCAGTAAGTATGCTTATCTTAACTGGGTATGATCTTTAGATAACATCTTTTCATCTTGAAGCAAGTTTAAACGAAAATGGTGAAGTCAAAGCTAAAACAATTTACACCTCAATTAAGTAACGCGGAGTTTTGTAAAAATATTTCATGACAGTAGATTTTCACAATTCCTAGATTCTACGTACTAGTGGTCAGTTGCTTTGTATTCCAGTAGTTTAGCAGATGGCCATGACTTAGCCCATGGGATTAGATGTCGGCTTCTTATCACGATGTTCTCTCCGAGTCCTCGGGCAGTTCACGTCAAGCTGTAGTGGGAAATTTGGTACTGGTTTCTGCCTGAGTTCTCTGTGTTTCCCCGTGCCAACAATAATGCCATGAACACGCCATATACATTTCAATAAGCTCTGAAACGTAGGGCAGTGTAGACTTCCCAGCAAATATTGGAGGTGTATTTCCTGACAATTGCATACACTGCTAATCACTTAGATTAACTGACAATAACAACAATACGCAATATTACACTAATTAATCAGTTTGGCAGTGTAAGGATTAGGATTTTATTTTCCGGAAGTTCCAGGTTCGAATCTCAGTCCAGGAATTCCTGACATGCTGAATAGTATTTTTATGATATTTATCGGTTCCTCCAGGTAAATGTTTGGGTATCATCTCAAATATATTATGAAATCTTGCGTCCAAGCCCATGTTTCATAATAATCCTCTCATTGCACATAATATTTGCAGTTTATTAAACGTCGTTATAAGCTATAAATTGGGAAACAATATTATCTAATCTAATAATGTACTACTAGCTAAAGTACACTTGTCCCAGCCGTGTGTTGTGTGCATTTTTCCCATTTACTTGTACCAGGTATTGTTAGTGAATCCTTCTATAAATCGGTGTTAAACATTTCCTGAAATTCGGAATTTAAATATATATCATTTTGTGCATTGTGAATAGATTTAGGCTTATTACTCTTTTGAAATTCGTCTTTCTACAAAATTGATGTGCTCAGCTTGTACGTAATTTCAGCACATCAAGAAGAATTACTGTATTAAAACCCATAGTTTTCACTACATATCAACAGTGGCAGCATTTCGTTTCAAAGAATTATATCTACAGTAAAATTAAATGCATAACTGCACAGGGGCTATATATTTCTTTATTGCTGGTGGGGTGGGACTAAGTCCCTTGTACTGCGGCCACTTCTGGCCTATTGTGCCAGCTCCAGATGAGAGGTGAGGGTGATTGTGGAGCAATTGATGGGATGAAGATTGGTAGGGGAAACCGAAGTACTCGTAGAAAACCTGCCCCACCGCCACTTTGTCCACCACAAGTCCCACTTGACCAGATCCGGGATCGAGCCCAGGCCGCCGCGGTGGGAAGCCAGCGACTAACCGCTTGAGCTATGGCGCGGCCCACAGGGATCATAAGATCACGTATTAAAATTTATTTCTCTTTTTGTAAACTGAGAAACTACATTCATTAAATGAAGTCCTTCTGATACTACATTGCACCTCTTTCTCTCGTTAACAAGTTTCAAGTTAAAGTGATATGTTACGTTAATTGTTGAGGTTATGGATAATGTTTCCGGCAAGATACCGTAGTGTGAATATTGAGAACCGGAATTTTGTAACATGGAACATCCCTAGTAACCTATGATATGGTGGCGAGCTCATATGTTACGAAGAGTATGATATTTCAATTTGAAATGACATGGAGTTTGGAGAGAAACCTACTTTTTGGAGGCACATACTGCCTTTATCTTCAGGGTCGAAGAGTAAGTCAAACAAGAAAGCAGCAGAAGGGGTCAGGAAGCTGAGTTCAATTCTGAAGGTGGAGGCAATAGATTCCTTCGAAACTTCGGTATCCAAACTACACGGTATTACAAGAAGACTATACTCTTCCTTGTCACCCGTGTGAGAACCTCACATCAGTCCAGTTCTTGTTGTACTTGGAAATGTTTGTGTAAGTTAAATTTGTCCCTGTACTTATATAATTAAGCACTACGCCATGAAGGCGGAAGGGAGCGAGTGGATGTATAGATCCTCATTTTCTTGACCTCGGCACTAGTTGGAGGTGAGTGGTCAGCTTCATGCCCTTGCCGCTTTACCTCCGTGTGAAAGAGCCCCCGGTAGCCATTGGATAGGAGGTGGGGTGGACCCCAGAGCCAGTCTGGACGACATGGAGAAGTGAAAATTCTTGCCCCCACCGGAACTCTAACTCAGACCTCTCTTTCTTCCAGCCCGTAGCCAGTCGCTATACCGATTGTGCTATGTGTAATGCAGAAAACAATGTTTTAACCGCACATTCTTACGTAGATGGAATAAGTCCAATCATCGCGGCGTCCCGCCTGTCGCGATCTCTGATGATCACAAGCGTACGTGTTAAACTCATACCAACACACCCCTCTCTCGAGACTCTGCACTTCTTATCCGGTTGCTCCCACTTGGAGCATAGAACAGCGGCGAAACGCTTCGTTTCACTTCAGTTTCTTAATCTCTTACGCAGTCGGTAGGGCTCCTTGGACGTGGGATCAGCCGGTCGCAAGACCGCTACCTAACACGAGCAGAATAAACATAAAGAGATATCCATGCCTCGAGTAGGTTTCGAAACCACGATCTCAGTGTTCGAATGGTCGAAACCATTTCATGCCTCAGACCGCGCGGCCACTGTGATCAGCAGAGTCCGTACTTCACGTCAAGATTGGCTTTGGGGAATACATAGCCCCGTAACCTGTATGAATATGTAAATCTGGCGACTACTCTCTGTGTGCCTCGGGTACGTATGCCTCACCTCAGCATTTCTACAGCGGAAACACGAAAAGTATTTTTGATGTTAAAAATCTCCGTGTATCAGTCGTCCCGATATAACAGTAGATCCGATATTTTAACTANGGGGGGGGGGGTTTATACGTTCAAACCCAGAAACCTCCCGGGACTGATACTTCAGCGGCAAGGAAGTAAGGGACTGAGTGAATTTGATTATTCTTTATTCTTCCTGTACGGATATTACAGTGCTAACCTTGACTTACAGCACTGAGATTTGAACCGTAGGATGATTTATTGCACGCATGCTAATATGCATGTATACAGGACCTGTGATCTGAGTTCTATAAATCTATTTCAATGAAAGTAAAAAATTTTATACTATTCAGGTGCTTGAAGAATATATTTTATACTGTTCATTACAGTGTCACTTGTATTAGTGACTGTAGAAGGGGTTTGTATTGGATGATTGAATTTATTAACATCTTGTACAATCAACTTGTACTTACAAGTAATGCAGCGCTATCGCTTATATACACAATTTACGGTTCACCGTTACGCATGCACTAGGATTATCAGTCTTCACTAGTCGTATCCTGGTAACGGAATTAAACAGCCTCACTGTGACTAAATCTTCTAATCACATGTTAAATCATCACAGGCTGACTTCTAATTCTTCTTCAACAGTTCTCATTCTCGTACTCTCTGTTGTAGTCCGTTGTACTCCACTTCTCTTGACTCTGCTCTTTCTTCAAACTGTCTCCCTTACATATTCCCGGCACTGACCACGCAACACAGAAAACACAGTTCCTTTATTATTGTATATGTGCATTACTAAGCAGTTGCCTAGCAAACAGTCTCGGTGCGGACCTCATAGAAAACACATTTTTTCTATTAGGGATGCGTGTTTAGGGCTCCGTTGCCTAACACTGGGCACTGCGCATACCACATAGAAAACGCTTCTTTCACGACATTTTATATTGTAGTGTTCGCGTATTTCAGGCATTGCCTAGAAATGTGTCTACATGTCACAGAAGATTTGTAATTTTGATATATTTTGTACTTCATCTTGTTTTATCTGTTCATATATTACCATCTTCTTGTTTCTTGCCGTATCTCTTCATGTACTATGTATTTTGCTTACTTCCTGCAACATCTCATCTATATTTTTTTCTTTCCATACGCTTTGCAACGCACGTCAGGATTGAGGTATGTTTACCGCTACACACAGAGACAAACATACACGCGTACTGCTATATGAAGGAGGATTACCGACTCGTAACGCAGGGAACGACACTGTCAAATATTCACACTATAGGAAGAACTGCTCCGTACGGCCTCACCTCCTCCCTCTTCCCGCCCTTGGTTTGCGGTCTGAATTTCAAATATGTCCCTCCATCCTTTCGTTCTGCTACTTTACGAGGTGCTTATTTCTAGAAACATCAGCATGCAGACTCACCGCTCCCTAGAGAGGGATCTCGTAAGGAAAGTGGAAATTTCAAACACTTTTTTTAGTGACGGCTGCTTGAAAAATAACGGTAGCTCGTCAAATTGTTACAGTAGCTCTTGGACTTGTCGTCTGTTCAGTCCCTTCTCTTACCAATTCCTCCGGCTATGCAGTGAAAACTGTGGTAAGAGATGATTTCTGCCAAAGAGCCTGTGCGGACGATGTCTCAACGATCTTATAATGCACCACACAGCTTTATCTATGAACCGTCGTTGTAGGAGAACATTCTCAGTTTAAAAACAAATGGAAGAGAACAGGGTGGCATTAACTCCTTCATTTCTATTGTTACGTATAAAGGATTTGCGTGACGAATAATTGTGGGTTCTAGATTTGACGATTGGATTCATTGGCATTTCTTTACAGCTACAGTTGATTATAACTGCTCACATTTTTAACTCCTTCCTAACGACTTCTGTTTGCTTAGTCGTTGCTTGGCAATACTTCAGCTATTGAATACTGAGATATACAACGTCAAAGTCACATTGCGACTGACGGCCAGTCAGTCAGTAAGTCTTGGTGTCGAGCCCCAGATATTTATTACTGTTTGACAGTGGCGCTGGGGCAGGTTTTCTCCGAGTATTTCGGTTTCCCCTGCCAATCTTCATTCCACCAATTGCTCCACAATCACCCTTACCTATCATCTGTGGCTGGTACATAGGCCAGAAGTAACCGCAGTACAAGGGACTTAGTCCCACCTCACTAGCAATAAAATAAGTAGATGATATGTGGGCACAGATGCAGTTGGTATTAATACGTGTTCTTGTGCCGCAGAAACGCCCCAGCCTCCAGAAGACTGCGTACTACGAAACCGCAGCAGCGGTGGGCTCGAGGTACGCTGTGTAGCTGGGTACGATGGCGACCTGACCCAGCACTTCATGCTAGAGATAAGTGAGTCGCCCATGCAGCCGGACGCAACACCCATCTCGCAGAGGCAAGGCGGACAGGCCACAATGAACGACCAGGGAACCCGGCAATCGGCTCCAGGACCACCCATATACAGAGTGTTCGGTGCGGAACCCGTGTTCGCCCTGAGCGCCCTAGAACCAGGGAGAGACTACGAGCTTGCTGTGTATGCCGTCAACGCAAAGGGGCGCAGTGAACCCCCAGTCATCATTCCAAGGGTCAGAGTGTCTACTTCCATGGAGAGGCTAACCAAAACTGGTAAGTTCTGTGGGTCACGGTTTTTTAAGCGTTCTTTGTACCAAATGCATAAGAGGAACACAGCTGTTTCGTAATCTTGCCGTGGGAGGAATGGGGTATTTAGGGATGAGAAATATTGTTTTAGCTTTAGATAGCTTCTTGTCACATTCTCTTCGCTACAGATTTCAGTGTCTTAAATGAGATAGAACTGGATTTATATTTATGTAATTTTAGTTTTTTGATGCGACTTAGTTTTGACGGTATTGTTTAAATATCCTACTATTTTTAACTATTCTTTTATATTGTAATTTAGATCCTGTAACTTCCTCTCTTTCATACGAAGTGTTGCAACACGTGTACATATATAAGTTCTCAATTACTCTGTGATTACGTTAGTTGAATGCTAATTAATTTTAAACAAAGAAGCATTTTGTTAGAAGGTGAAATGTTGTATTTTGTGATACGGTGCCACACGTGAGGCCCGACCGGCGTTCGTTGCTCTATTTTCTGGCAGAAGGCTGAACTGGGGACCCACCGAATGCGAAATATTCTACCATTTTATCGTGTATTGTGAATTCACAGCATAATTGAATATGTCAGACGTCTGAGGATTACAGTTTTATTGTTAAAATTTTATTTTCCAGAAAACAAAAAGAACGGAAGGCGATATTACCTTCCTCTTTCCTGTGATAAAATTCCCTCCTCCCCATAGAGAATATATTTTGTGTCGAACGGCCGTGGGGATCCGTTGTGCTGACCACGCGACACTCTCTATCCGCAAAAGTTGGAATTAACTTCGCCGAAAAGCGGCGGTGGCTCGGTCATATAGTCCGATGTGGACTACAGGCCGCGAAGCTTGTTTGTGGTTCTGTTTTAACTTTGAAGGTCAGACTTTTGCCGCTTTGAAATACAGTGCTCCAAAATATTTTCAGCCAACAGCAGTCACCTTCTGAATGCTATTTTTCTTCAGTTTATATGCAACAGATATTTGTACAAATTAGCCAAATCTCCAACAGATATCGACGAAGATGTCTCCGCTTCACAACATCCAATGGCCGTCGTATTAGGAGTCCTTGTCGCAGCAGCCGGCCTGATTCTGGTAGGCATTTTCATCACGGCGACGCTCGTTATCTGCAGACGACGCTCAGCGACGTCACAGCTGCAGCAAGACGAGAGGGACGCCATTAAACTTCGTCAGGAACAGCATCCTAACATCTACAGTGAGTCTACGGCGCCCGTAGATCCTGTAACAGTGTTTTCTGTCCCCAGCTACGTGCCACGTGGATGTTGTACTGACTCTGTGGCCAGAGTGAGGTTCAGGACGGAGTCCATCGATCTGCAAGAGAGGAGAAGTGTCTACCTGGATGGCGGAGAGGATAGTTTAGCTTTCAGCAAGAGAAAAAACAAATCCACAAATGGTAAGTTTGCGATTGTGTCATATAAATACAGCTGAGTGGATAGCCCTATATAGCTTGCGGCTCATTATCACTTACACGGTTACTGGTATAAATATTTCAGCAAATGCTCTTAACAGACCAAGTTTGAGCCGAATATTATTAAGATATTCCATCAGTGATTTCAGTTTACATGGTATATGATTTGAAGCCATTTTCTGAGTTAAAATTATAGACTTCAGACACAGATATCCGAAATTTTGAATAATGTTATTTCGCAAAAGCAGTGCATAATCTCGTCATTTTGGACGCTGCAAGACGCATGCGTTTGAGAAAGCGTCATAGGTATTCCTCTGTGTTTGAAACTCTCTTTGTCTTATAATATCAAATCCACGTATCTCTTGCTGACTTGAAAATATCAAACAATGGGACATCTTTACACGTAAAGGAGATGCTGTGTCATTTCTTTTTTACCTTTTCACGAAAAATAATTTTCTATACTCTTCATATAGCCTACAAGTTACAGTATTAATAGGCTAAATTTGTGCTATGTACTGCATGCAAAACATCATGAATCGTAGAATCTGATTGGACGTGGACCTCATTACTACGCACAATTCTTTCGTTAATCAAATAATGAAGTCATTTTTGTGTAATTACATTTGTTGATCAAAATAATTTTAATTTTTTTATTACATGCATAAATACTGTATTTTAATATTGGAAATATGAATAAACTTTACATTGGCATTATAATAAATATTTAATACACCATTATGCGGATAGTAGACGCTTTAGAAACTTAATATCCCGGCAATAAACATCTAATGCTGCTGTCCTAATTGAAAGAACTCAATATTTCACATGAAGTGTAATATTTTGAGTTTCTACTTCATTTTTCGGAAGATACCACGAGTAAAAATTGGATATCCACTGGTTTTAGAGTCGGACAGATTATATAGTTTACCCTACAAATCAGTTTTGCGTAATTAAGTAAATTAAGTCGATTTTTAAAAGTAGTAGCTTATGTATTTAAATTAAATACTACTAGTCTGTTTTAAACCGACATTTATCCCCAGTAACACGGGGCCTAGTACAAGCATTCTGGTGCCCTTACACAAGTACAAACAACAATAAAGAGAACAGAGTTGGAAGGGGCTGTTCTGTATGGCTTTTAGGATTGAGAGGAATACAGGATACGAATGTATAGCGCAGTTTTTAACTGGTGACATGCTGTAGGTGTGTGCATGCAGCTGACAATCACACTATTTGTATTCTGTGTGGACAGAAGCAAGCCACGCTTTCTGTAGCGTGTTCTGTGTGTAATGTATGAATATTGCTGCAGCAGGCGAGGACAGAGAGATACGTTGAAAAAGTGAACACGACATGGGATCCACGTTTGCTTATAGGAATAGGCTTTTCAGACTGGAATGACGGCCGGACCACGGTAACAAGTAGCGGGTCACTCATAAACACAGAAAACGTCTGCGTGCTGGTCCAGTTTGCCCATAAATGGATATACCTTTGTGAACAAACTATATTTTATTATTAGATTTACTTAATTACATATTCGTCACCTCCTCACGCTGGTTCATCGCTCGCAGCTTTCTTATACCATGAAGATGGGGGCGATACGTTCTTCCGAAACGTCGGTTAACACAAGATCTACACGGCGACATATTCGTCCACAAAACTATAGTCCCTAGTCACATGTTGCTCGTAGCATGGGTATCTTACAATTTTTGGACATGTGGACAAATGTCGGTTTGTAGAATGAACTCAGCACGCTTGTGGCAGATGCATACAGTCATGTTCCAGTTGTTTAAGTTCATTGCTTATTGCATTTACTAAAATGTATCCACCAGTGTGTTGATAAATTATGAGAAACGATTATTGCATCGGGACTGAGAACTCCAACAATGAGATTGGAGTACGTTTCTACATACTAAAACAACGAAACTAGTGTACATACTTAAGCAGATTACTTAAGATCACACTGAAGCCACTTCAGAGGAAGGAATCTCCTCAAATTTCGTTTCGCCACCACTTTTATCACAATATTTCTGTCCGTAGGATCCTGAAGGACACATTCTCTCTGTCAAAACAACGGTATTCAGAAGACATAGATATCATACTATTTTCTCATTTGATTAATTTTGCGATTTTAACAACGCTTTGCAATTCCATGGTCAGAGTAGTGAGGAATGTCAAGGGTTATGTAAAAGACGAATAGGAAAGGACACAACGATTATGTTTCGGGAGGAACAATGGTAGATTTTGATCATTTTCACATGCCCTTATGACGGATTTAAATTTAATTACTCTGGTATGCGCAGTTTAGCTTATGACGTAAGTTTTGACAGCCGCAATTTGTGTGATCGTTATGTTTGGCCTCAGTGCACCCAGATGAACTCATGAGTATGTGTGTGTGTGTGTGCGCACGTGCGACGTCCGGCCGCCACCCTAGTGGAAGTTCATAGATTGGCACCAATGAATCATACAGACCTTAATCGCCATTTTGAAGAAGAAATGACCTGGAAACCAAACGCCAATCATAAACAGATGCTACTGTCAGAAATATGGTCATTTGTAAATTAACGATTAAAGTGTATGAAAGTTATTGATTTTCCGACATGGTGAAAAGTAACCCTTCTTTTTTCTTCTCGAGCCTAATTTGATAACTACCTGTCCTAAAAATTAATGAAAGCAAAAAATTCCTTTCAGTAAATACAATACATACATAGCTGATCGGTCTAAGACATGTGCTGTCTTCGCTCGCTTGGAATCCGGGATCGTGGGTTCGAATCCCACTCAGGGCATGGCTATTTAGATTGTGTGTTTGCGTCTTTCTGTTTGTGTACAGATAGAGGCCTTGCGACGAGCTGATCACCCGCCCAAGGAGTCCTGCCGAATGTGTATGATCTAGAAAAACCGAATTGAACGGAGAAGTTCATGGAGATAGGCCTAGGCCCACTGGGGTTGTAGTGCCAAGGAAAAAAATACATACATAAATACATAGAACGTAGATTAAGAATGGCCATTAACGTTAATACAAGGGAAGACTACTGTACTGAGATACATATTTTAATTTTACCAATATAATATTTACAACGTTAAACTTTGCCTTCTTGCAGCTGTATATTTTAGCTATTGTATATAATAACATTTTTAATGCTTAATTCATTAAAACAAATTTATATTGAGAGGCCCTGTGAGCCTATGGAAATATAGTACCCGGAAATTGTGATGGCTTTGAGTGGTTTTATGGAATGGTTTCGAGAAAGGAAAGGTCACAATCATGGGCCGGGATAGCTCAGTCGGTATAGCGACTGGCTACGGGATGGACCGCCGAGGGGTCGGAGTTCAAGTCCCGGTAAGGGTAATACGAGTATGGTAGCGATAGAATTGAAAATGGGGATTGCATTAATAACAATATTTTTTTAAATCGCTCCACATATATATATATATTATTCACATAATAAACATAAGAAAACGGAAGTGTTACATAAATTATGAATTGTTCACCAGTCCCTCAGCTCGCGACAAGGAAGCCGAATATACCTCCTACACTTACTGTTATATATACAGTTCATTCTGGAACCTAAGTCAGAAGACGTGGCAGGGTGAGTTTATAACTGTATTTGTACTATTAACCGAACACTGTGAGGATGATGAACTCTAGGAGGATGGGGCGGGGGGACATGTAGCATGCGTGTTATAAAACGATATATCTCACGAAAAGAGGCTATCTGGAAGATCTAGGGATAGATAAAAGGATGATATTAATATGAATCATTAAGTTAATAGTAGGATGTGATGTGTGGACTGAATTCATATGCCTGAAGTCCACTAGCGGGCCCTAATAAACACGGTAATGAGCTTTTGAATTACGCAAAAGATGGATAATTTATTGATCAGCTAAGCGACTAGAAGCTCTTAAAACTGACTCTGGTACTTTGAGTAATTAAAGAATTTACTCGAAGAATGCTAATGTGATAATTATGACGAAGAAGAATACAGTTGTCAGTATAGACTACATGTTACTCAGATTCTCTTGCGTAAGATGTTGTGAACGAGTGTCCTGAAGATTCTTTGCTTCTCTGGATACAAGAGTAACACCTTAATATGAAAATCAATCGAGAGGTCGGAGCTGAATATCGACCTGTCTCATACCCGTATTTATGAAACAGTAAACACGATAAATCAGTTGAAGCTGCTTTGTAAACCACACTGAGCTAGCTAACATACAAACGTACAGGTGCACTTTGGGGAACAAGCAAACGCCAGAGTGACGGCGTCGGCGCCTCTCCTACTTCGTTATAATATAGGCAGTAACAGTGAGGCAGCTGCGCGCACATGTGCGAACGTAGAGAGGGAGAGTTGGGGGGGGGGCTGCTAGTGAAAAATAAATGACCCGATATTTTAATGTGAAATGCCTAGCTGCCGGCATCATGCAGTATAATACAGAAATTCCCTAAACAGTACATCCATTCTAGCAGTATCGTCATGACTTGATAGGCATAGACCACTTTAAAGCGAAAGTTTCAGCTCCTAAGCTCGGTAACTGTCAATTATACTTCGTAATGTGAGTTACAGTGGTATGGTCTAAACACAAGATTTTTGCCATTTTATAAGCCTCTTGTGAAAATGAGACAGTTGCGTATTAACTCTGTTTGTAATAGAGTTAAGTTGGTTTCCCATAATATTTGGTTATAAAATTTGCTTTGAGTAAAATTTGGTCAAAAGAATCGTTATAAATTTAAACTTTCTCGGGTTTGATAAACTTAAAACTACTTCGAATTAAAGTCCCAGATCGAATAATCGCATTCTGTGCAAGAAACTCATTATCAAATCTCATTTTAGTCAGGTTTTATGAAACTGTAGAATACAATGCAGTATGAAGAACTATGATACCACCATGCATTCATTCCATTCATCACGATCAGGAAGGGTATATAGAAAGAGACAGAAGTAGAAAGAGGAATGACAGACGGAAGGGGAAAGAGGAAAAAATGAAGAAATGA